GGGAAAGAGGGAGGAAGAGGGGGAGAGAGAGGGAAAGCTAGAGGGAGAGAGCGAGCGAGAGAGGGGGAAGGGAGAGGAGGGAAAGAGGGAGGGAGAGAGAGGAGGGAAAGAGAGAGGGAAAGAGAGAGGGAGAGAGGAACGCCTCTTTTGATCCTCTCTGCTAAAGTTAACGCGCCCCCGATGGATAAAGGTTTCAAAAGAGGCCACAGAAAAAAGGGGCTTGCAAAAGTTAACGGGGCAGTACATTTTTTTCTCTCTGACAAAGGCGAGCCGTTTCAGCGAGATCCTTGGCGAAGAGAATCTGCCGGAGATTTAGGGCCCGAGATTTAGGAAAGCAGCTCAGCCAAGCTTGGGATCAGGAATGTCCTCGGAGCTAGCCACGGCCACAGGCTTCGGTGTGGCAATTCATCCCCGGCTATTAATTCAGGGTGCGGTGCGAACGCAGAAAGCAGATGCGCTCTCCTGGTTTTCTGCTGTCAAACCCTTCCCGGAGGGGTTCCTCCTCCGGAAGTGGCGCCAGGACTTCTAATGGAAGGGGGAGAGGGCTGATAGAGATCGCGGCTGGAAAAAAAATCACTCTTCGGATCGAAAAGGACAGCCCTAGACTTCTGCTCTGATTTTTGGAGAATAGCGCTAGAAAGAGCCTCAATCTTTGGGCAGTTCATAGTGGTCAAACGCTGAGTTTTAACTCGGGGGCGGGGGGGGGAGAGTTCCATCGCCCGTCAAGTCAGCCGTCAAGTTGCTCCATCAGCACCCTCGTCCAATACGTATTCAAGAGTATTAGCAAGGGTCAAGAAATTGTACGGAGCATCACTTTGGTCTCTGGAGGTCTCAAGGGTCTGGGTTGTGAGTGTGGGTCAATTTCCCCCGATGTTAAGTAATGCTAGATGGTTTGGATTACAACTCCCATCATTCCGGACCATTGACGGACAGGAGCTGAAGTTCAAAGCCACTACTTGCTCAGCGGCTGAAGACCGTAGTACTGCAAACGGTGGGCTAAAAAAAAAAAAAAACCGAGCCCTAATTTGATCTAGTTTTCTCCCTAAATCTGTTCAGCATCCCGATGCCCAGCCTTTAGCCACCTCGGGAGGCCAACTGGAAAAGATGGGCGAAGTGGTCTCAAGAAGCCCACTGTCGAATTGCAGTTTATTTATAAAAAAAGCAAAATGTGCGTTTAGGATTTATAGCGTGTGACACACACACACACACCGCCGCAAACTGGTTATAACACACTGGTTATCTGAGAGAAACACGGCGCGAGAAAGTCATTTCTCCCCAAAAAAAGGAGAACGCGCTGCTATCTAAAACCGTAACCCCGGTTTGGACCCGGCCGGCTGAGCCCAAACGGAGAGGTCCTTGGTGTTTTTTCTGGTGTCTGGTTGTTTTCTTGCAGACGTTTCGCGACCCAAACTAAGTAACGTCTTATTTATTTATCTTATTTATCTCGCTGGGCTTAAGAAAGGAGGGAAACCGTTTATCTTCCTCCGAGGCTCAGCGCCGCGATTCGGCTTCCGAAGCGAGCCGCTGCGGATCCTTCGGAAGCTGCGAGACACGCTTCGCTACACTCCGAGGCGTTTTCCCTCCTCGCGGCCAGCGACCAAGCTCGCTTCGCCCCGTCCTTGCCCCGGAGCGGTCCGAGCGAGGCGGCCTTAAATCGGATAAGGCTCTGACGATCACTTTGGGCTTTCCTTGATCGGCGGCGTTGAAACGCGAGCCTCGAAGTGCCGCCTTTGACGCGCTCGAGAGTCGAAGTCACCTCGACTGAAGTCGCCTTTCTAAAATAATCGCGCAGATTATTCTCCGATCTCCGGCGGGAAAGAGCGCACTCCCTCGCCAACCCCGCGGGGGGAATCTGGGCAGCGCCCGGGGTCGCCAGGCGCAGGGAATTTGCAGACGGTGGGAAGGGCGAGACAAAGCCAGGACGCCCCAGAGCCGAGAGGTTTTATCCTCGAGAGAAAACGCAGCGCTCTTAAGAGACCCATCGACAAAAGAAAGAATCGGGGCTCCCCCTTTAACCACAAATCAAACAATTCGAAGGAGCCTCGCGGCTAGAGTTGCATGCTCGAGATCGCAAGGTCTTGAAGGTTTAAAACGCTGGAGAGGCAGCCTCGCCGGAGTCAGCGTCTGAATAAACACGACCCGGGGGTCAACCCTGCGCGGCAGCAACGCGACGCGCGTCTCTTTTAGAGAGGCGCAGCGCGGCCCGCTC